GTACATTACTGGTTGGAAGGCATGCAGTAAAGATTGCAGGGCAGTGAGTTGCTGCCTGCAGAGGCCATGATGCCTGTAGTCCCAAGCCTGCCCACCAGTAATGTATCCACCCTGGCTTTGGGGTGCCTCATTGTCTCCCTTCTTCTGTTTGTCTGCGTATTCTTTCGCTATCCCTATCGCTGCTGGATCTCCCCTCCTCGTGAACCAAACACTCGTGACAATATGTCGAGGGCAAACCCCGACAACCAAGATTCTTCTTTTCTTTAAATTATGGTTAGACTTGCAGGAAACAAGAGGAAATCCCCAGATGCCAGTATGAAAAGGGAGATGAACAAGAGTAGAGAGCGTATGAGAGTGGACCAGTGATGGCTAGAGGCTCGTTTTTCCACCAATAATAAACCTTGGTCTATGACAGGTGGGAAGCTGGAACCCACTTACCTGTTGAGAGCCTCTAAGGACTGCAACTTTAGCGAAAAGGGACTAGTAAACTTTGCCTATAGGATAAAGAAGCCTTTGCCAAGATCCTTAGGTGGGAAATATCCTGTGTGATATTCACACCCAAGGTTGTGCTTTGTGAAGTTCTAGAAATCAAATTTATATTACCTGCTTGATGTGGAAACATCAAGTTTAAAATTTAACAAGACTATTCATCCTGGGTTGGTGGTGCATCTGTGGCACCTTGCAGAAGTAAATGGGAAATTGCTTATGAGCGATGCTCTCAAAGAATCTAGGCAGGTAGGACAATGCCCTTTACATTTATTCTGTCTTGACATAATTTTGGGTGCCCTGGTGATGCTGTAGTATAAACACTGGGCTGCTAACCATAGGTTGAAAGTTCAAACCCATTAGCAGCTCTGTGGGAGAACAATGAATCTGTCTGCTGCCATAAATATCTTAAGGTCTTAGAAACTTTAAGGAGCGGCTCTACTCTGTCCAAAGGGTCGTTATGAGTCAGAATCGACTATGGCAGTGGGTCTGAGTTTTTGGCTTTAACACTATTTTGAGGCCCTGTCTGGAGGCTGGTTTCTTCTTCTTGTTGAACAACTGGTTAAATCCACTCTCTAACTTCCCTTATCAGTCCACACACTCCGGGGCCACTATCCACTCACCATAATCACCCGGAGGCAGTACCCAACAACTAGGACAGACCCTATGCCTCCTGAGTCTGTAAAATTATTCCAAATGCCTGATGTCCAGGAAGCCTGAGAAAATAGTCAACCTCTCCCTGATTACCATACATAAGTCCTCTCATATTTGTAACTTTTTATTGTCTGCTTCCTCGGGTACAGCCCCCTGTGTGGTCCTGCACTGTGGCAAGCTGTGCCTCCCAGTCCCTAGACATGTGAGAATAATAACGCTTGTTACTTTTCATAGCTTCCCCGACGCCTCTTCCATGCATTACACCAGACTTACCATTCCACAAATCTGTTAAAAGCAGGTAAGAAACAATTTGAATTCTGCTGAAGGTGAATTAAAAATCATTTCCCTCTATATACAAAATGGACCAGTTCCAATATCATGCAAGCATGATGATGTCTAAATATCAAGGGGATTCAAAAGTTCATAGAGGAATGATATGAAAAGATAATGGAATTTTTCCAGGAATTTTTGAAGTCCCCTCATGTCTTCTATCTTATACAAATAAAAACTTCCCCTTATTCTCATACCCACGCTTGGCTCTGTGTTCTTTACAAAGAATTTAAAAAAATATTTGCTGTCTCCCCTTCTTTGCCTCCCATTTTCTCTCTCTCTTTTTTTTTAAGTTTTTATTGTGAATTTTTTTTTTTAAGTTTTTATTGAGTGATAGTTTACATGAGGGAACATCAGTTTTACATTCATCATTTCATTGCAATGATTACAATCTCCTCTGTGTGTCATCATTCAACAGTATTTGCTTCTATTCCCTTTGGGGCTTTTTTTGTTTGTTTGTTTTTTTCATGGTGGTGGTGGGGAATGTACACAAAAACACTCAGGAATATATAATAATTTAAACAACCAAAGAACACATTCTGCGAACCTACCTCCAGCACCTGGCTGCCAGCACGCAGCCTTTCTCTTTCCATGAGTCTAGAGTCCTCTCAGCTGCTCCCTCTCTCCATGCCCTTATCTCTGCCTCCATCTTTGGTGTTGCTGCTTCTCTCGATAGGGTCCCACATTCTGCTCGTACCCTTCTCCCTTGATGGTCCTAGGGTTCTCTGTTCCTGGACTGCAAGATTAACTACTCCCCCCTTTTTGCTACAAAACTTCTACCTTTACAGTTAGATGGTCCTAGGGTTCTCTGTTCCTGGACTGCAAGATTAACTACTTCCCCCTTTTTGCTATAAAACTTCTATCACAACTGCAATTAGTGATGATAACAATTACTCACTATTGAATCATAAGAATCTTATCCCCATCTCCTTTCACTGAATAGATGAGAACTATTCAGTGATGATTCTACCTTCCCCCACACACTCCAAAACTAAACTCCCTCTTGAAAACTTGTAAGCCAGCTACTTCATGCCTTTATAGCTCCTCCCATTTTAGGTAGCCAATGTCTAAGTTGCAGCAGTACATTGTAAGGGAGCTGCTAGAAAATCAAGTCAAATTCAGAAGAGGACATGGAACTGGGGACATCATTGTTGATGTCAGATGAATCTTGGCTGAAAGCAGAAATTACCAGAAAGATATTTGCTTGTGTTTTATTGGCTATGCAAATGCTGTGTGGATCATAACAAACTATGGATAACATTGCAAAGAACAGGTATTCCAGAACACTTAATTGTGCTCATGAGGAACATGTATACAAGAGAAAGCCATTTGAACAGAACAAAGGACTACTGAATAGTATTCAGCAAAGGCATGCACCAAGCTTGTATCCTTTTACCATACTTATTCAATCTGTATGCTGAGCAAATAATCTGAGAAACTGAATTATAGGAAAAAGAAAATGGCATCAGGATTGGAGGAAGACTCATTACCAACCTGCAATATGCAGATGACACAACCTTGCTTGCTGGAAGTGAAGAGGAATTGAATATTACTTATGAAGATCAAAGACCATAGCCTTCACTGTGGATTGTACCTCAATATAAAGAAAACAAAATCCTCACAACTGGACCAATAAATAACATCATGGAAAATGAAGAAAAGATTGAAGTTGTCAAAGGCTTCATTTTGCTTGGTTCCACAATGAACATTCATGGAAGCAAGAGTCCAGAAATCAAAAGACGTATTGTATTAGGCGAACCTGCTGCACAAGACCTCTTTCAAGAGTTCAAGAGCAAATACGTCAAGGTGTACCTGACCCAAGCTATGGTATTTTCAAATATCCCCATATATGTGTGAAAGTTGGATAATAAATAAGGAAGACTGCAGAAGAATCAAGCCATTGAATTATGGTGTTGGAGAAGAATATTGAAAGTACCATGGACTGCCAGAAGATCAAACAAAACTGTCTTAGGAGTACAGCCAGAATGTCCCCTATAAGCTGATAAGACTTCACCTCATGTTCTTTGGACATGTGGTCAGGAAGGACCAGTCTCTGGAGAAGGACATCATGTGGTAAAGTAGAGGGTCAGTGACAAAGAAGACCCCCATGATCTAATAGGCCCTACATATGATCCACCCTCCCAGCCCCTCTTGAACCCCATTTCCTCTGCTTTACCCCTCACTCTC